CCCCAAAACCCGATTTTTGTTTCTACTCCGATTTTTCTCCCCCTGTTCCATTTCCGGGGATTTGAAGGAGGTGGAGGACGAAGAGAGGTTTATTTTAGTAGAGGTTTTACGGCGCTCGCAACTGCATAATGTCATATGAGCGCTAAGGGATGGATGTCAACAGAGAGGTCCTTACAGGGTATCAGACTTATTCTGCTCGCCCCTGACAGAGTTTGAGGAGGACGGAGAACAGGAAAATGATATACGAGAAGGAGGAGGACAAAACAATTGGCGATGGAGAAGAAACAAGCTGAATGAACATCTGATAGAGAAGCTACTTGATGCGGACATTCTGAAGGATGAACTGGAGGGGAAGGAGGAGGAAATGGAAAAACAGCAGGGAAAATGTAAGAGGTACTTGTGGAGCAGAAGCAACAAAAAACAGACAAAAATAGAAAGGTCATAAGGATGGGCAGGAAGGAGGAGAAGAAGAGGAACGAGTGGTTTACTAGCAAACTCTGGGTCACTGTCACTGATCCCGTTATATGACAGAGAGCCTCATCAGGTACCTCTGCTTTTCACTTTTTTTTTTTTGCGAGCGCCTGAGTTTGGGCGACGGATTTCCCTGTCCACTCCGCAATGTTGTCAGTCCACTTCTGGGAAGACACTTTTATTTTTAAAGTAAGAAAACACCACACATTACTGGAGAATTTCCGTTTTGTCATGTTTAAGTAAGAGAGAAAGGGAAAGAAGAAGCGGGGCAGGAGGGAGAGGAAAAAAGTAGGACCTTGTGTAGTAGTATACTCCACAACCACCCACAACTGAAATTTAGACACATGTGAAACATAAAGAGTACCATTGCCTTAAACAGGAGTGTGTATGCACATATGTACGTTCGTGCAATTCGTCGGCCGAGATTTCTAACCGTCCAACTCAGATTTCGTAAATTTTGCGGGACAGACAAAAAACTGAATTCTAAGGCTCTTATGGGGATTTACTGTCTTTAAATGCGCTAGACTGGAATAAATGACTCTACTTTTAAGTATTTATAACAAAATTGCCGAAATTTTGTTATTTTAAGTCCTAAACCAGAGTTATACGGACAGACCGCTTAGTTTTGGATTTCTAAGCGTCCAAGTGTCGACGAACGAATTGTTCGTTTAGAATTCTCCAACCCAGCGGGGACACCACGCGCTTCGTTACGTCTCAGTCATCGTGACACGTTAATTTTACCGAACAACTCGAAATGACTACACCTGCAGTCAATCCAATAGTAAGCCTACTATAAAAGTTCTAATTAGTACTACATAGTACTGTAGATCTAGAATCTAACAATGATACTGATATTATATCTAAAATTGAACGTCGCACTTTATTTCTACACAATTTCTAATTAGGCAATGGGCTTGTCCACAGATTAAGTGCGTCGTTTAGTTTTTATTTTTACTATGAAGCTACTATTTGATCTTCCATTCTCAAGGAAATAGTGAGAAGGATTGGTTACTTGTCTAGGTACGAGAGAGAGAGAGAGAGAGAGAGAGAGAGAGAGAGAGAGAGAGAGAGAGAGAGAGAGAGAGAGAGAGAGAGAGAGAGAGAGAGAGGGAGAGAAAGAGAGAGAGAGAGAGAGAGAGAGAGAGAGAGAGAGAGAGAGAGAGAGAGAGAGAGAGAGAGAGAGAGAGATTGGGAGAGGGGGGAGGGGCTGAGAGCGAGAGAGGGAGGGGTCTGAAAGAGAAAGAGAGAGAGATAGGGGGGGGGGGGGGGCAGAGAAAAATTTCCGGATACGAGTTGTCTTCATGGAGCTTCTTTTATTGTTAATTTTTCCTGCCTGAAGTGCAGATTCTGTCGCAGTGCTTGCTCTCTAGTCACTAGCATAATAGTTCTTTCCTTTATCATTTTCCTCCATGTTTTCCTGTCCTCGGTTATTTCTTCACAGATGCTGACATCTACTCCAAGCTTAGATAATAATCTGTTTTTGCAAATGTCTTTGTACCTCAGTTTTGACCTTCCCCTTGGTCTCTTTCCCAGGGCAAGTTCTCCATAGAGAAATTGCTTCGAAATCCGGTTGTCGTCCATTCTCTTGACATCGTCCAGCCATCTCAATCTTCTTAAAAACAGGATTATTTGTAGGGTTGATTCATTATGAGCAACAAGAGCAGCATCATCGGCAAAGAAAAGGTCTCGTATTTTTATTTGGTTTGTTGATTTTGGTCTTGGCTCGAAGTCGAAGTCGAGCAAGATTGAAAAGCGACCCATCAGTTCTCCAGTGGAAGAAACTGAAATGCTTCCAACTCTAAAAACATGGTTTAACATGGTTGAAAGACTCTAAAAGTAATATGATTTTTAAAAAGCTCAACTAAACCTCATATAATACATCCCCACCTAATGTATGGCCTTATTAAATAACACATTTTTCATAGAAAGTCATCAAGATGAGGTATGCCATAGCAACATCCAGTGTCAACAGGCATTAATTATCCTCTTGTCCAAGCACCATTATGAGGCTTTAGAATGCTCTACCCAATGAAGAGCTATTAAAGCTCTGGCTAGCTAAAAATAAACTACATAAACCAAAGCACAATACACTGCATACATGTATTAAATTAGACTTAGCCGTGGGTTTTAACTTGCGCACCGGTGTCAAATCAGAAGACAATCACCCACACAAGGAGCAAATTCATTTGCAGTCAGAGCACCTTAGCATTCATTTGAGACATAACATACACAGTCCTTGCTCTCTAGATCATATACTGTGAAATTGTGTACATTCAATTTCGTCTTATAGTACAAAGCAGAAGCATTGGTGCGGGGATATAGCAGAACTGATTGCAGGTCCATAGTGATGTATTTGATTTTGGGGCTGCCCATGCATTTTTCCTTGTCTGCTGTCTTTTTTGTATGCCCCCTCTTTCACATTCCCCTCCTCAAAGCCCACACAAAGGTCCCACCTATCTTTTCGAGGATGGAACAATGACACGTTCATAGCATTGAACTCCTCTTTAAACTTGAAGGTAGAAAGTACCTTCCCCCCCCCCCCTCCCCCGCCATTCATACTTTGCTTTATACAAACGGCGGTACACTGCCTGTAAGCTCTGGAAAACAGGTTCCAAGTATAACTTACTGAAGTCCTTCCGGAAAAAAAATGAGATGGCAACTTGGACAGATCACGAAGAAACTGTTTAAGAAGTACCTTTGATTCTGTAGTCTCCTCCCTCACCCTTTTTCTCTGAACTGGAACCTCACCCTCTGTTACATCCAACCCATATGTGAGAACATTGTGAACACGCTACTTACAAAGTTCTACAAGAACTTAAGAAGAAAGCCTTGTACACTTTGACTCTGGCCCCATTCACTCGCAAATGGTACTTCATGGACAACGATCTTCTGCTTTCTCTCTCCTTTTTCTCCACAGGCTCGACACAGTCGACCAACCCTTTAACAAAAGCAGCCTTTCTGATTTTACATTTATAATCAAACTCCTCCTTTGGAGCCATACGTTATCGCTGTGACCCACAATGGCGGGCTACCTAAACGAATTAGACGGTTAGAATTCTTCAGTCATGGAAGCCAGTCGGAATATACGGTTAGAATTTCTCTTTAAAACAAGACTTTTGTTGGTCAAAATTGTTCTAGGTTTTAATAGGACGTAGCCATTCGTCATGTCGATCTATTTTAATTTAAGGAAAAAAGCAATTCGAGAAAATTTCGGAGTAAGACGATTAGAATTCTCGGCCGACGAAGTGCACAAATTCGTCTACTCATCGACCTGTTCACCATAATCTCCCCTACACAGGACAGGTCTCTCACAGCCAAAGTAATTATAGTGCGGCCAAAAATTCGTGGTACAACTAATTGTCAAATATCTCCTCAACAATTGAACATAGGTTCTCCAATTTTTGCAAAGTGACTTACATACAATTTGTCTTAACAGATCAAAATTTTTGTAAACACCTGAAAGCTGTATTCTAGAAAATTCCTTCATAAATACTAACAAAAAATCCAAGCGGGTGGTTTCTACAGATTTTGAAAAGTTTACAGCTGGGGCAATATTCCTTTAAATATCAAGTCCGTCATGTTTTTCTAATCGGGACATTATGCTTATTGAACGCATGTTTTGAGAGCCATTAGTGCAAAAATGTGTTCACATTAAAAATAATTTCTAGTAACAAGTTTTGCATGTAAAAATTGTCATTGATGAGCTGTGACGTAGCCATATGCATCAAAATGTATGTGAAAAGTGGGAAGTACTGTGACCAATACCATTTTAATTTTACGAGCGACTGAGATTTCAAGTATTTTATATAAATATATGAAGAAAAGTTTTATAATCTAGCCCCAAATGTTCAGGAAAAATATTATTTAGTTAAGACAAATTGATACAAACTGCTGGGCAAAGTATGGATGACATCGATTCATTCGTTAAAGAGATATTTGAGGATAAGTTGCATCACAAATTTTTGACCGCACCATAAGTTCCACTATCCTCTTTAACGTCAGGGATAAAATATAAAAGGGAAGCAGTTTTGTCTTTGTAACAGATCTCAGTTTTAACTCAATGGACCCTTCCTTTACCCTTTTGTAAACTGAACGGCGATGTGAATCAAGCAGTCAACCACAGGAAATCTACAAGACCCCCTGCACAAGAACTTTCCTTTGGTGACTGCTAGATTATCAACACCGCACACTGAAGGGTGTGCTCGAAGCTCAAAAGGATAAAAAAGAAGCGTACACTTAGGCATGCACTCAGGTCCATTGGACTAAAAGTGAAAACTGCACCAAGAGTTAAATTTATTTCAGCTATGTTTATCAGATCATCCATAATTTGGACAAAACCAGATAACCTTTGACCCCATGTCTCACAGCAAGTCCACATGCCTAGCAGTTGTTGCATCTGTGCATTTTGTTCTTCATAAAATAAGATTCAACAAGAAACTCACAAAAACATAAATTATTGATATCAATGAACACATAGGTAGGCTATCTATTTCTCATTTAAACATAAGAAACACAAAAGCTTCTCAAAATATAGTTCCATTAACATTTATTTCTAAACCAGTGTAAAGAATCAAACATGCTCCTCCTTTCTCATCAAGCCATTTATCTACCCGCCTGTGAAAATAATTTCCGTCAGCAACCAGTTGTGACAAAATGTCTCACTGAATGATAAAGCTTCTCACTACTACAGATCTTTCTACTTTTTATCCCAGGTAGTGTAGCTTATCCTGCAAGGCAGACCTGCAGACAGGATTTGAGGTAAGAGGGAGAATTTGTTGACTTGTTGGAGTAGACTTAGCCTAAGAGTCCTGAAGAGACACAGACAGCAAGGCACAACACCACAACAAGTGACAATTCAACCTAAGAAAGATCTGTTCACGCTGTGAGAGCAAGTTCACAAGACACAGTGGAGGAGTTGAGCAAAATTCTAACAAAGGCTTTACACGAGTTGGCATTTTAAGGCCAGATTCAACAATCACTCACCAGTCAGTGGCCATCATAGGCTTATGAAAAGTTGTCTTCTTTAGTGATCTATGCTCCTTGCGTTTGGGTTGTTTTAGCAACATATCATGTGTGTAGGCCCCAGTCTATGTCAGCCTCAAGAAGCACACTGCGACAGGGTGCGTCACTTGCATTGTCAGACCAAACTGACTTCACATCTACAACCCAGATTCTCGACTGGGAAAATTATGGCCCAAAATGTCTGGCATAAGGAGTAAGTACTTTGACCAGTGCAGAAGAAGACAGTAGGCTGAAAACTTTGTGAGTGGCTGCCCCACACATGAGAGATGTGTGGAGATGTGGTTTGTACATATATACAAGATGATGATCTGAGAATTTTCCCAGAGCAGTCTCTATACTGAACCACAGGGAAAGGGGAGGGGAGTCTGCAAAGAGTACAAGTAAAAGCAACTAGGGCTATATCAAATGGAAAGGGAAAGGGCGAGGAGGAGCAAGGTAGGATAGGAGGTTGGTGGGGGGTGGGGGTGGCTCATGGAATGTGTCAAGTCTGCAACAGACTAGAGTAACACTAGCAGGAGAAGTAAGGAAAATGCTTTTAGAAATTGCTCCTGACAGTTGTTTTTTCGAAGTGTAATAGCTTGGAGAACTTTCACATATTAGTCTACAGCATTCTGGGTTAATCATTTATATGTTCACAAAGTCATTGTAAATCATTCATCCTTCCTTTAAATCTTTCTCAAATATCAGAAATTACATAATAAACATAATGATTAAAAGTATTAGACACTAATGCTACAATTTTAACAAAGATCTACGAATAAGCCGTCACAAACACACTCTGAAACAAGACACATTTAGATTAAACATTACAGAATAACAGCCTGACAGATGACTTTAGCTGTCCACCCGCACAAACACTTTGGGTCGGGAAAAAATCTTGATAGCCTCCTCCACCTCTGTCAGCTGTGCTTCTAAAGCTTGGCGCTGCTGTCGCACCCTCACTGTGTCTGCACCAATCGGAAGTCGCTGCATTTGGTTGATAACCTCTCCTTGTTCTGAGCAGGGCAATGAAAAAGGAAAGTTGTGTGAGTTACGTATGTTAAATAAGTGAGCTAAATATCGATGGTGTTTTACCTTGACCATGTTAACTGATTACTTGAATAAACCCTTCTGATTTAAATGAGAGGAGACACGAAAGCTAGATCACAGTATTTTTATACTATTTATACTGTATTTTGACTTCTGATTTTTACCGAGAACCTATACGCCAAGCTTGGCAATGGGTTTTACTTTCCATTACACAGTTAGAGCATAACATTAACACATTACATATTTGTTATGAGTGTCCTATGTGTGAGTTTGATATGTTCTATAGCTCGTTCACTTTCATCTGACCGCAGTTAAAACGTGATAAAAACAAATTGCTCAGTTTAATCTTTCTGGGTCTTTGCATGTGGGTTAAAAGTTAAGCAACCAACAGAATCTTAAAGCCTATTCATAAACGTCACAGCAAACTAAGGTTCTGACACGTTTTCTTTGATGTACGAAAGTAAGCCTAAAGCGAGTAAAAAAAATAATAGGAGCTTTACAGCATACACATAAAACATTTAAAAGTTGACATATTTTCCTCAACATCACTCTTTAACGTTCGCTTTAGAAACACGATTCAAGAGACGGGGTGAGTATTTTTCGAGACTCATGTGGAGCCTGTGGAGACATCTAGACAGCTGGGGGATGAAATCGACAAGCTTACACTAAAATATGTGGGATGGGCCGTGTCACAGTCTCAAAATGAGCAAGTTGTAGGCAAGGCTATTGTAAGTCATATATTTTCGTGATCCTGTGTTTGCATCCAAAGAGCGGTTTTTAATATAGTATAGGTAGGACCCAAAGAAAAAGATTTTTTTTATTACTGGGTCAAGATTTTGGGAAAAATACTTTTGTTTTCTTCAGAAGTGCCATGCAAAGTTTTGTGGGCATAGATAAATTCCTCAATGAGCTAGAATTTTTTTTAACGCAGTCAGATGAAAGTGAACAAGCTATACATGTGAGCTGTAATGGGACCAGGATATGGTACGTGCCAGAAACTACATTTTCAAAGTAACTGTATGCCAAATTTATCTGTTCCATATAAATGGCCTATAAATCCCCTGAGCATTTTAGTACCATTCTTTAACCTCTCAGTCAATTTTTAAGAAAAAGGTGGTTGTTTAAAATTTGATCAAATTTGTTAAACTCGGTCACTGGCTGCAACCCCATGTTTGACAGACAATAAAAGAATACCAAGGGCACCAAACATCTCCACATTAACTCAGTACAATCAGTATAACGTATATATGGAGCTTAATTTTTTTAAAGACTGTGAGATCATTACAAATCAGTATTTTATCGCCCAAACATGATGATCTGTCGTTATTTCGACAAAAACACCGAGCGTTGACCCGACCGGCTTGCCAGGCTACGAGCAAATTATGGGATGCAAAGCAAGTCATGGGGCACGAGCAGCTTGCAGGCTGTGAGCAAGTCAAGTGGCACAAAGTAAATAATGGGATGCAAAGCAAGTCATGGGGCACAAGTGGCTGGTGGGCTGCGAGCAAGTCATGGGGTACAAAGCAAGTCATGGGGTGCAAGCCGTTTGCGGTGCTGCGAGCGAGATTTGAGACCTGCCTGCCGCGTTGTGAGCGGGTCTCTCCCTCTCTCTCTTTCTGACGTAGGTGGCTTCGCAGATTGAAAGCAGGGTGAGGGGAGGATGAGGGGGTCCGACACGAGTGGCTTCGCGGATTGCTAGTACTAGTAGTGTTATAGACTTGAAGCTTAGGCTAGACTCAAGTGTAACATGCTGGTGATTTGATTTGATGATTGACCTCATGATTTGAGACTTGTGACTTGAATTTGGGGCTTGCGAGTATGAGCGGGTTTGCTAATGGGGTACAGCTCTACTCAATGTGTAACAAGAACAGAGCTCACAAGATCCAAGGAGGCAAATTAGCATTGCAGAAGCTAAAAGTTCTGGCAACCCACTTACTCTGTTTGAGCAGGCCCAGTGTCTCGTTCCTCTCACTCTCCGGCAGCTGTCTGTGGCCCGCGGGCATGGCAGGGTCTGGGGTGTTGGCCACCCGAGCCCTTTCCTCCTCATGCCACTGTGTCTTCCTCTTGCGTAAACTGATGAGGACATGATAACATTTGGCGTTTGTGAAGAGGATGAAGAAAACAAAGGGGATGAAGAAAGAAAAAAAAAACGAAAGGAAAAAGAAGAAAAAGAAGAAGAAGAAGAAGAAGAAGAAGAAGAAGAAGAAGGAGAAGAAGAAGAAGAAGAAGAAGAAGAAGAGGAAGAGGAAGAGGAAGAAGAAGAAGAAGAAGATTAAGCATGACATTACTAAAAATGTGCTCAATACGCTCATGAGTTTTTCCTGTATATTTTCTTTGTGGATCCTAAATTTTTCTGCCTCCAAGGTAAAATAGATTGGTGAGATATTTATATTCTTGGGATAAAAGGTTTCCAAACAATTAGCACCTGTCACACAAGTGTTGCTATGTATATGAAGGACATATCAGCTGTACTGAAATGAGTGCTCCTTGATAATTAAAAAAATCCCCCCAAAAACCTCACGAAACCTCACGAAAATATCTTCAGCACATAAGATTATTGAGAGATACATGTCTGTAAATTATTATATTTATCCGTAAAATAAAAGATTGCTCATAACTGCTTGGTCTTTGACAACGTAGTGACAACTGCTGGTAAAATGGGTCTTGAATTTATATTCAGGATTTCTCCATAGCCAACTTGCAATGTAAAGTTGTTCAAAGACAAATTGTAAGAGCATTGACTCATACAAAGAAGGAGAGCAAGAAACTTTATAAACTTACTACGTGGGCACTTCGCCATACTCATGACTCTGTAGCAAGTCTTCTTGTCTTCTCTTGTAGTCATCCATAGTGGTGGCTGACGGGGGACGGGAAATGGCGGCTCTCTTAGCATTAACTCCATTCACTTTGATGAAATCAAAGTCATTCCTCATCAGCTTGACCTGAGACAAATACCAGAGAAGGTAAAGCAAGTTATTACTTTACCCACAAGCGAGTCACAATGTTACCAACCAGTGAGTAACAATGTTACCTATTAGACTGTCATAATGTTAACAAACACCAAAATATAATGTTACCCATCAGTTAGTCACAATGTCGCAATGAAAAGATTTGACAACAGACATCTATTACCAGCCATTTTTTAAAGTACAATGAAATATCATAGCTTCAAAACATATAAAAACAATACCTTGAAACTTTTTACAAAACGCAGATGCATGAATAAAATTGTTGGTACTCAATCAAATTAACAATTAGTTCAGCCTGAAAAAACGACCTTGCTCCTTTGATAAAAAACTTAAGTCGATACAAACATTTCAATGGAGGAGAGTAAACTAGAATAATGGCCACTCTCTTGGCAGTCAATTAGATGCAAACATTCAGGACTCTTTGCAAAACGTTCTATTGAACCAACATGGTATTGGAAGGTCAAAGACACTCACACTCCCAGCTGAGGTGGCAAGAGGCACTGTGGTCTTGTCTGAGATGTCTGGAGAGCAAGGACGAGACTCCAGTTTCACTGGCGGGCCTGCTCGGGAGTGTGCCCGCAGGAAATTGGCCGAGCTGGGTCTTGGAGTCGCAGGTTTCTGACAGAAATACAATGATGTCACATTACTCTATGTTGTACTGACAGGTACAAAGTGTGAAGACCAACACATGATGATTTCTTATTTCCTTTTTTGACATAAATGAGGGTGTGTGTTCAAAAGAAAACTATACTTTTTGTAAAGGAAGTGTAGATGAGAAATCGTGAAAGGAGTCCTGATAGCAATATATCAAAATAGAAGAAAATTCAATTTGACAAGGAGAGTTTAATCAACAACCAAATTTTTTATTTGCAATAAACCAAATCTATTTCCAAAGTCTTGATCATTAAAGGATTAAAATATTGTAAGTCCAGTAACTTGAAAAAATTCACTTTACTAGTGCTCGGATAAACCTGATCAAAGACTCTTTTGAGAAAAGGGAGACTAAAATTTGGCCTTTTCTTTTTTTCCAAAGTAGGTGTTTTAACACCCCCCTCCCCTCCAAATCGACACCTATTTAGCTAATTTTGGAAGCAGACTTTCAACCATATCTGTCAGAGTCAACTCAGGGTGAGAGTAATACAGCATCCCAGTAGCAAGACAAAAGATACTAAATAAAAATTCTCCTCACTCAGGAATCAAACTCGGGTCTCCAGAGTGCATCAGCAAAGTCCCTAACCACTATACCACATATGCCACTTCTGCCTGTCTGAGCAAACAGAGAGCTTCTGTTCCAATAAAAAGGGCATTCCAGAAAAGAATAAAACTCTGCTCTTCCCTAATTACAGCAAAAAAAACTAATAAAATTTTTGCAATTCTGATATATTCAAATACACCGGTTTTCTACTTTGTCAAGAAAACATTTTTCCTAATAATCAGATTTCCCACATACCTCCACATCCTGCTTTATCTTTGATTCCACATTTGCGTATTTCTCCGACTTCCACAACACTTTGACAGGTTCTGGCTTCTCAGCCTCTCTCTGTTTACATCGTCTTTGGATTTCTCTCATCCGTCGGACATTTTCATTGATTTGATTTTTTCCAGTATCTGTAAAATATCAAATCTCAGTCACAGATTCATAATAATAGGTAGTCCAATTCTTGATTGATATTTGTTGAACAAATAATACTGAAAAAAAAAAGAAATTCAGTAAGATAAATGGAAACATAAACACTCCCAGTTTCCACAAAAGTGACCTCCGATGAGCGTACTCATTTCCCATCAGTGCTTACTTCAGAGCCAGCCACAAGAGCACTTGGTTTACAGAAAGTTTTAAAACAAACCTGTCAGACTTTTTGTATCTACTCCATGGTTTATTTGTTGAAAAGGATGATCACATGACATACTTTGATTTGTTTGCTAGGCTAAGTTAGAACTAAAACTATTCTCAGATCAAAGAGAGGGGTATGCTTTTCTGAGAGGAAGCTAAAGTCTCTTGATAGTTTACACCTCTCCAGTGACAATTTCTGCCCTTGGCTTTTGCCACTTCCTACTCTTTATTCCAGTTATCTTCCCCTTTTCCAGCAAAAACTTTAGCAATTTTACAGATAGTACATTATTTTTGCAGCTATTATTCCATGCTATACAAAGCACAACAAGGCTACTTCAGTCAGAGCATTGCTGTAAGTGAAATGTTCATGCCAGATACAAGTGGTTAACAGAAAGCAAAGCGGCAAACAACTACAATGTATAAAATATTGGTTGTGCAAATAAAAACCAAAGAAACAAACATGTACACTACTCAAGAAAAAAGTCAGAAAAAGGAGGGCTGCCAAACTATGACAGAATCTAGTCATGATGAGAAACAACACATGAGCATAATAAATTCATATATTAAATTGTAAAGTTACCGAAATTGTTCCTCATGTTTCTGTGATGACGGCCGACAGTTTAAGACCCTCACAAGAAATTAAGAATGTCGCTTCCAAAACTAAGCTGCCTGAAAATACAAAGATAAAAATAAAGTGAAGATCATAATACTTATATATGTCACAACAACAATAGAAACAATAATAATGCTTCGCTGTCCTCACTGAATAACTCTTTTCCCTTCTCCCCTTCTCAATTTCTCCTTGCTCTTTTCTTTTATATATTTATTAACCCCTTTGTAATAGTAACAGTATGGGCTTGATCATGCATGATGTTTATGATACAAGCCGATAGTTAGAGAATGTTAGGAGTACGCCATTGGCCGATATTTATAGTAACAGCCATTTTGATCAAAGACCATGTAAACCAAGATATTGCACTTCCTCTTTGGGCTTTTGTCCGCGGCCGCGGCGAGCTCGCTTTGCCGCGAAGCACGTGATGGGCTATGTCACTAGGTGACCTGAGGTTGGTTTCATTGCCGACTGCTTGGGATGAGTGTGCGTGCGTGCATGTGTTTGTGTGTGAGTGTGAACACAACTTTGTTTGGGGGGGGGGGGGGGGGAGAAGAGGAGGAGGTACAGTGGTACAGGCTAAATCTACGGAACTAGAATTGCTGAGATTGTTTAATTAACTCTTTGAACCCCATCGGACGCTGCTAGTGTCCGGCAGTAATAACCCTGTTCCCCATCGGACGCTGGGAGCATCCAGTACTAGAGACAACAGTTTCGTTTTATTTAGTGCTAGTTTTAGCTCGATTTTCGGAACTATTCCCGAACCAAATTTTTTAGTAATGACTATGCCTTTGTTCCCGCTATTTAGAAGTTGGAGGCAAGCTCTTGAGGTTATATTGAGACATAGTGTATCAAATTTAGGAGGCTGTAGAAAAAAACTCCCTGAAACAGTGGAAAAAACTCAGGGCTTAAAGAGTTAAAGATAACAAAAATTAACCCACAAACAAAAACAAAACAAAAAAACAGAAAAGAAAAAAAAAGGAAAAATTTTAAGGGTTGAGGTTGAGCAGGTTGATGAGAAGGAAGAAAAGAAAACTGAAAATCAAGAGACAAAAACGAGGAAAATTATTCAATGATTTTAAGCAGAAAGGTAAATAATAATAATAATGGATTGCATTTATATAGCGCATATCCACTTATGCAATGCTCTATGCGCTTAACATGATACATATTATGGATTTACAAATCAATTTTAAAGGCACATACATACGGGTGCCCACACATACTCACACACGCACGCACCACACACACATACACACACATATGCGTACATACGCACATATGCAAATACAAACTCACAACAAGATGTTCACCAATCGAACTCATGTTGTTTGCTGTCCACTCATGTTGTTTGCTGTCCAGTCATTTCATATCATATCGCAACGATGGTTATAGTGTCGTAGTTAGTCTAGCTCGTTGTCCCTGGTCGACATCATATTAATTACAGAATTACCAGACAAATAATGACATTACGTGCTATGAGAGTAAATTTCTTTGTCCAACTTAAAAAGTAAAAGTATTGAGGCAACACAATGCAGTCTTGCTTTACAATTGTTTACAACTTGATGTTGTGATCTTTTTAACAAAATCCTGCAGATTCAAACTGTCCTTGTCTCTTCTTAATGATATCAAACAACAACTAGTTGTTTCCCCATCAACAGGGTCCTCGAAATACAACGACTGCTGCTGTGTAAAGAGAGTCACATACTTCTCTCAAGAGGGAGCGTTTTCGATATATTAGTCTTGTCAGATTGTTACATTACTTAAATGGAAGCTTGCTTCTGACTGCAATTCATTGACCAAATTGACATCATAATAATATTATGGTAGGTAGCGTAAACACTGCCTCTCGGGCACTCGCAGCCTTCCGAGCGCATGGTATCGGTGAAATCGGTGTACTTCCGATCACTGTTTCTTTTCTCTTTCGCTATAAAACACGAAATACTGTACACCTTGTAAAAGTTCAGCTTTTCCTCGTTACAATGGTGTAAATTGTTTATACTATATATGTCCGATTATTAGGAGCTAGAGAATCGCCGAGGAAAGCGAAGCCTCTCGCGGTCGGAAAGTGGGGTCGGCTGGCTAAAAAATTGACATGCGTGCATTCAAATACTCCGCGGAACGAGGAATAATTAAATACCGTCTTTTCATTGGCAGAGAACTGTAGAGCTTTGAACGAGCTTTCCCGTGGTATATTTTCGGCCTTTGGCATTTAAATAGAAAGCCTTTAAAAATACCGTCAAAATTTTAAAAGATCATTTTTTACATTAAATATGTAAAATATCGGCTCAAAAAAGGTATCAATTAAAAGATCAGTTCATTTTCTATTAGAATAAAGTAATCAGCTTGGAATTATTTTGCATCAATCCTTTCGCGAGACACGGAAAGCATGTGACCCCTCCCACGCGGGGTACACAACAGTATAGAGCCGTCTCACTCGCCGCAGGGGCCGGTGCGGCGCCGGCCGGGTCAACGCTCGGTGTTTTTGTTGAAATAACGACAGATCATTGTGTTTGAGGCAATAAAATACTGATTTGTAATGATCTCACAGTCTTGAAAAAAATTAGGCTCCATATTATATTTGTTATAGTGATTGTACTCTGTTAATGTGGAGGTGTTTAGTGCACTTGGTACTCTTTCATTATCTGTAAAAAATTGGAGTTGCAGCCAGTTAGTGACTTAAAAACAAATTTGATCAAATTTTAAACAGCTACCATTTTCTTAATAATTGACTGAGGGGTTAAAGAATAATACCAAAATGCTTAGTGGATATAGGCCTCTCAAATAGAACAGATAAATTTGGCATACCGCTACTTTGAAAATTTAGTTTCTGGTACCTAAAATGATACCTTGTTGTGCTGGGTGAATTGTAAGTTAGGGAAAGTAAAAATAAACTCACTTCCGAAGAGGATACATAAAAAAAATCTCATGGAGACCAAACCTTGATTCCGAATAAAACAGTATTAAATCAAGCTGTTGAAAACTTGTGCTCGAACAGCACATCTGATTTGGACATTGGCGACAGTCACAGTGATCATGTATAAAAACTATTTAATACTTTGGCCTGCTTCAGGCGTTCCATCCCATGAGATGAAAGAAAACAAAGCGTACTTACAGAATTAAAGACGTGTTTTATGGGAGTAAAATTGGATGCAGTAAACATGGGAAACAAGAGGTGAGAGATGGGGAACAGAGGGTGGGGGTAGATGGGAAAATGGTCATGTGTACAATAATGACTGTATAGCACCGGGTCAGCCTGAAAACCGACGCTGATAGAAAATGACAGGAAACAATAATTCTTACTATAATAACCCCCCCCTCCCTCTCTCGTTCTCTCTCTTTCCCCCACCCCTTCTCCTCTCTCTTTCTCCCTCTCTCTTTCACCACCTCCCTTCTCTCTCTCCCCCCCTGCCCACAGACAAAATTGCATCCGTTCAACTCAAGAGCGCTGGAACATTTGTTTACGCTCATATCACAGGCAGCCACGCGTCAGCCCAAGGAAGCGCCCAAGCCTCGCGCGGACGCCAGATAGGGCAATTGAAACATCTTGGAATCTTAGAATACATAGTCTTTGCCTTGATTGTGTCCTGAAATAGTGTTCTTCATTCTAACAAAAGACAAAAGAAATTCCAGACCTAGATTAGATATCTAGATCTAGATCTAGATCTAGAATCTAGTCTGTCTGATCTGAAAAATAAAATGTGGGGTAACATAAAAAAAAGAAAGCTTCTTTTTTCATTTTAGCAAAGTGTTATGATAATATGCTCATTATTTTATGTATTTTAAAGAATAGACTAGGTCAAACAAGATGGCTGTTACTATAAATATCGGCCAATGGCGTACTCCTAACGTTATCTAACTATCCGATTGTGTTAATCCGAGTAGGCCTGCTTTATGATGGCTTGAATTGTTGAATTTGATTTTGATGCTCACGACGACGACGTCAGCAGTCAGCAGGCGATTCAATGATTTTTATTCTGAATTTGACAAAAGTTAAAAAAAAATAAAATCGCTACAACGGTAATACAAACCAGACAACTTGACTTCAAGGAACTAAATCTACTTGATGAGAATTAATAAAGGCAAAAACGCATTAAGCGGCGAGGAACGCGTATGACAAACCATTCAAACCCTGCTTGCCAACCATAAACAATTTCAGTTCGCCATTTTTATCACGTGACACACTGTGACTGGATTTTTGTCTGAACACTTAAAACAATGTATTTGAAGTATATTTTACACCAACACATCATTATCAAATAAAAAATGAGAGTGAAAAAATGCAACAAAATAATAATTTCACCTCAACTGATTTTAACTATTCATCTCGTGTTTTCACCAGCACAACGTGGGTGTTCAATGCCATGACAACATCAACATCCGGCGTAATGGTGGTGGATTGAATGGATCTTACAGACAGGTTATGTCAAAATGAAGTTGAAAGAAGGGACTTTCTTAAGTCCTTGATCGGTTTTCAGTAATGTGTTTAGCGTCCGCAGAGCCTAGTAACGAATAAATCTACGAAAATTCCATTTGCATCCATCAATTCAATCTTTTGCACTTTGACTACACTTTTGTTATTGAATTGGTTGAAGTCAAGTCTTAGATAAACTGACACCATGTCGCGGGCAGGTGCTGCAAAGACCCGAGGCGCAGATAAAACAAAGCCTCCAGCCTCGCAGACTCCTGTCATTGCTCATGAAATTGTTCCCGGGAAATTCACTGACAATGACTGGTAAGCGTGATTATTTCTTGCACAGTTTCTTGACTTTGTGATTAACTCTTTCCGCCCAGAGTTGAGTAGACGTATCGCTGATATCGGCGGCGGCGCGAGTCCACACCCTTTGCGGACGTATTGCCGGTATATCGGCTGTGATAGCGTGCCTTAGTATTGTTTCGTTTGGTAGATTTATAGAAACGCTCCTGTCTCATAAAGAGTATTATTTTGTAGCTCTTTTTGGGTTTTTTGGGGCCCTGAACACGATTTTGGCTTTGAAAAACATCGCAAATGGTTAGTTTAGATGTTACAGCACTATATTTCAGGGGGGAGACACATGAAATTGTTTCCGGGAAATTCACTGATAATGACTGGTAAGCATGATTATTTCTTGCACAGTTTCTTTGACTTTGATTAACTCATTCCAGACGTATCGCTGATATCGGCGGCGGCGCGAGTCCACACCCCTTGCGGGCATATTGCCAGTATATCGGCTGTGATAGCGTGCCTTAGTATTGTTTCGTTTGGTAAATTTATAGAAACGCTCCCGTCTCATAAAGAGTATTATTTTGTATAGCTCTTTATGGGTTTTTTGGGGCCCTAAACACGATTTTGGCTTTGAAAAACATTGCAAATGGTTAGTTTAGATGTTACGGCACTATATTTCAGGGGGGTGACCCCCACCCCCCCACCCGCCCTACTACACAGCTCTAACGTACTCGCACGTCAGGGGGAGACCCCCCGAAACCCCCCCTAATGACTATAAAAGCATGCATTATAAAAAAAAAAAATCCTAAAACTAAGCCTTATCTAAAAAAACCTGACCTTATTCGTATATCCGGCGGCACTAAAGTGGTGAAGGAGCTTACTTCCGGTAGTGGATGTGACGCGAAACTGGAGTGCTTCTATAAAAATACCTTTCGTTATAACACGATCCATCATTTATAATTACTTTTAATTGCTATTGAAAAACTCGAAAAAGATTTAGGAAACGAAAACACCTAGAATCTAGTTTCATTTTGTCAAAGCGTGGGTTTAGGGAAAAACGAGTGAATTAGTTCTTGCGGTCTTGCATCAACAGCACAATGCAACCAGGCTGATCGGTATATAAATGTCATAACTCAAACAAAAATTGGAATATTGCTTTCAAATAAAAAGCTGCGCATTCAGAAATTTATGGATTAGGCTCTTGGCCTGTATATGATAAGATAGCTATGCTGATTTGCTTTCACATTTTTGGTGAGTGTAATTTTTTCTGTCAAATTTTTTTTTTTTTATCACTATCTTACCCTTGTAATGCATACTTATGTTCAAAATTAATCCTTGTTTCATATTGGGATGTATTTCTCATTCAATTTCCTTCAATTTGATATGTCATATGTTATGTTTTGAGTGATGATTATGCTTCTATGAAGTTATTTTGTACACCACCTGCTTAGCCGAATCGAGCCACAAGTCAATTATGTCTAGACCCAAAAAAAATTACGTCCGGAAAGAGTTAAGTGCCGGCCATTAAAGATCTATAAGGCCTTGTTAGAATCATAGCTTCTGCAGGTATAATGACTTCATGAATGATGAATGCATGATTTGAACTACATTGTGCCAATTACATTATAAGCCTGTCTACGGAATACTGAATAAGACAAAATTACAATTTCTGGATATTAAATTGTTGAGGCACAATAAGAGATGAGGCAATCACCCAGGGCCTGAATTATGACGAAATTGGAGGATGTGGCCAGGGACAGACAAGCGTGGTGTCAACTTTTCTCCGCCTTATGTACCTGACGGTATAGGGAAAGAGTAAGGAGTAAGGAAGAGTAAATTGTTTTTGTTTAATTTAATTTTTGGAAGTGGGGGGGGGGCTTATCTTGTGACTCATATCATATAGCCTACTAATAATATGCGCAGTGATTACGTTCACGGTGCTGTGAACATAGTTTGCAGGCTATGTTCACAGTGCCCTGAATGTAGTTTGCATATTATTAAAGCTTTTCTCTTTGGCTGCACTTCAGTCAAGTCAATAATTTACTGTGAATTGTTGTTTTACCTTTTGAAATCAGCGCTAACACTATCATCCGTTTCTTTTATTTTTATTGGACCCCACTTTGTCACTTGTCCGATGGCAATAAGACGGAAATCTACATCAATATCTAGGACTTGTAGGCTGACATGGCAATGGGGTCACGAAGTGCGAAGTCGGGAATCTCAATCACTGCAATTGAGAATATAAGCCGAGCGAGCTGTTCTCTGTCGGCATCAGCGTCAGTTTGTTCAAATCGATAATCAGTTTTCACGCCAGGTTTTATTTCTTTTGCTTGACAACGGTTTCCTTTTCACTGGGAATCTGACATAAAAAATGTTGTGGTCATGTTGAGGTATTTACTAAGAAAAGCACAACCACCAAAACTACTCCACCTCACCCTCTGTAATCACCACCAGTTGGTATGCGACTGCTTGTTGGGTATTCGCAGCTGACCCCCATATCTGGAGGCTGTCCACTCTACGCCAACTGTGAATGTGATGTGCTGGGTTTGGTATGGTTGTCCCAGTTTTGCCCAGATTTATACTTTTTTGTGAGGATTTTAATGAAAAATGCAGATTAAAGGCATAATAGATGGAAATTTTCAGTATCCACAGACTCTCAAGCTTTGGAAATAACTCAGCTTAGGCGGCCATTTTCTAGCTAATTTGACCTTTGAAACCAGGCGACCCCTGCCTTCTTCAATCACCAACATCTTGATTTTCATCCAAGATAAATGGATATTTTTTGGATCAAAAGCAAGGCATATGGACAGGCGTTAAGATGATACCAATAACTCCATATGCCCCAAAATTGACGAGCGCCTGATTCCACTGCATCGCTGCAGAAAACTACGGTCTGCAATAAAAATAATTTCTTCCCACTTGAGAATCGAACTTGGGTCTCCTGCATGTGACAGCCAAGCATATTCAACCTTGCTTGTTGGATGAATTGATTCTCACTGAAGCAGGTGGAATGCCTTTCGATATTATCATTGAGAAGGAATGCAGAACACATTCTCTTTAACTATAGGACAATAAAGAAAAATAAATGTCAGTTTATTGTTGCTATACTCACCTTGTTTAGCACGTTTCATTCAGTACAGTACAGGACAGTTCAGACTTTTGGGATGATTGGTGTTGTATTTTATTTACCTGTGAAATATGTCCTCAGGAATGCGATGGTGGAGCGGGACAGCTCAGATGAGTTTGTCTTGGACATTATGGATGAGCTGATGGAGAACACCATGGCAGCCATCTATAACAAATACATCGAGCGGCAGCTGCTGCCATTCACCATCACACAGGCTAGAGATGCCATCATTGAGATTATTGAGGTAAGGATGTGCATTTAAAAAAATGGAGGGGGGATTTTCTGAAAGCAGAAGGCACTGGGAGGGGAAGGGGAGCACATAACATAGAAAATGGATTGGGCACTTGCCGAGCAGAGGGAATTTGGAGATTTGGATGAGGGGGTTATACCAAACGCAGAGCATTGGGAGGCAGAGCAGAGAGCATTTGGAGTGGGAGGGACATGTCAAACGAAGAGTAGGCCTATCTAAAGGGGAAATGTGTGCAGAGTAAATGTGTTGAGAGGGTAGGCATACATTGTGTTGAGTAGAGGCCTTGAGAGTAAAAGGATGTGTGGAGAGCAGGGAGCACCGGGTCGATACATTAATATTACAAAGCTTGACTTGAAATGCTCGAATGGAATATTATAGTAGGTGACATTCCTTATGTACTCTTTGCTTTTGGGTGTTTTTAAAAAAATCACAGAAGTAGTCAATGGAAGTAAAAAAAGTAATTATCTCTTATTTCTTTAGCACTTGTTGATGTATAACACTCATCACGAGTCAAGTATGGCTCAGTGACAAATAGTTGTCCCATAGTTCAATAGTTAAGATATCTGACCTTTGTTTCGGTGGGTCTAAATGAGTCTAACAACTTTCCTTCAGAATAGGCACTTTGTAGCAGTAGTTATGTCCACTGAAACAGGATATAAATATGGTAGCTTGGAGAGAGAGATTTTGGGTGTTTTTTTGTTTTTTTTACTAAGACTGGGTACCTATTACCTAGGTGAAATGAGGAGAACTACTCTAGAGAAATATTTACAAGAAATTTTTAAAAAATTGAAAATCAGGAAAAATAAATTTGTGAAAGTAGTGTTTCTATACTATTGAGAGTATCTGATTGTTTTTACTCATGACTTTAGTATCATTATCTTAATCATCCGGTGCCTTGCCGACTGGCGTGGGCGATCATGGACCTCCACTTCACTCTGCCTTACGTTGCAGCGATGGTGTCTGTCATTCTTGCTGTTCCCAGCCATGTTGTCAACTTGTCCAGTATCTTTTCCCTCTGTCTGCCTCTGCCTCTCCTTCCATCAAACTTACCTGTTGTTACAATATTCTCCAATGCTTCTTTCTGCATTGTGTGTCCAATGAAATTTGCCTGTCGTTTTCGTATATTCATCATAAGCTGTCGTCTGCAATTTGTTTCAACCAAGACTTCTTCATTTGTTTTTCTAGCTGTCCATGGGATACGCAGCAATCGTTTTATGAACTTTAGTATCACCAACAACAAACTCACAAAATTTGTTCAAAATAACTGAGAATTTAGAAAACAAAACTCAACCTGTAAATTTTTTCTCACATTCAAGAAGAATAGTCAGTGAGATCTGTTTATTGCGTTTTGACACCAAATAAAGTATTAAGTCTGTCCGAAAAGTAAGTTTCCTTGTTCTGTAAAATCTAGAATTTTTATTTTACTGACATGAAATTTAGAACAACGAAACTTACTTCTGGGACAGATGTTGTACCTCAAATTGTTTTTTTTTATCTTGTTAATGAATTGTACTAAATTTCATCCCTGCAGTGGCAGTTCCTGGCTAAAGATGAAGGAGAGGTTGACATAGAGTCTGATCTGGGCTGGGTAGAGGATGAAGGTTTGTGATATTAACCATTCATTACCTTACCTGTACTGCACTCAGTGTATTAGATCTTGTTGTGGTTAACTTCTATTTGCTCAAACATAATTGTTGCTGATCTGGAGACATGGACTTTTTTGTTTCTTTTACTGTCCAGAGACCTGTAAAATGTCTGTCAACTGTGAGTAACAGTCAAGGTACTGAAAAGCTTATTTTGAAAGTACATCAATTTTCAGGAGGATGTGTGTGTTTTTTGTTTTTCTTCCATACACACAAACTGCACTGTACAGGATCGAGAGAGAGAGAGAGAGAGAGAGAGAGAGAGAGAGAGAGAGAGAGAGAGAGAGAGAGAGAGAGAGAGGGACGGACGGACGGACGGACGGACGGACAGACACAGACAGACAGAAAGACAGACAAACAGACTGAGAGAGAGAAAGAGAAATCTTATCTTTGTATTGTGTCCATGCTAAGATAACAATGTGTGAGACTAGTTAGATGGTGTGGTGTCATAACATAATTTTTTTTATTTTCTTAATTTCCCTTTTTTCCCCTATCATATTGTTAAAACTCATATGAGCAGTTTTATGCTATTACTGTTATCAGTCCAGTATTGATTATTGATTTGTTTGTGGGGTTTCTTTTTGTGTTCTTCAGAGCCGGAACCTGCAGTGACAGACTGCTGGGCGCAGGGCTCTGTGCCACGTAACCTTATTCCTTGTCCAAGCCCGATCCCAGAGGAAGAAGAGGAAGTGGTGGAGACAGATGTCGTCACAGAGACAGTTGCTGAGTTAGTTTTGCTTTGTGAAACTTGTTATACTCTAAATTTTGTCTCGTTGAAGGATTTCTTAATAATAGTTGATGATAATAATAACTGCATAATTTACATAGCACATATCCATTCTCTACAGCATGCTCTATGTTCTCTGCAACCACTACTACCCCATCAGACCCCAGAACCATGAAGCATGCAGTCCAAGCAGCTTATTAGATGCTAAAACTCTTGAAAACTTACGAGGTCTTTCACTGTTTTTAACTGGGTAGGCCCTTCCTATTACCTAGGTGAAGTGAGTACTCATGTAAAATGCCTTTCCCAAGGAAACAACATGATGTGCTTTGAACTCATGACCTTTCGGTTACAAGCCCAACAATAGACCTCAGACACCACAAGAGACATGCCTAAAGAGAATAGCCTTACTGTAACCAAATCTGTTTCTGCTTGCAGATGCATCTACCCTACCTTTAATATAATTCTCTTTCCCGTCCTCCCACAACTGCTCTGCTTTGACACTGATGATGCTTAAAATATCATCTCTGTGTTTTTCCCTGAGGTGTTAAGCCCCCTTACCTTTCCTGCCATGTTGAGATTCATATGATGTAGAAAAAATTGAAATTCTGACAACTTTTGTTATTGTAAAGCATTCAAATCAGTTGATTTATATGCCACTATTCCAGACCTTACATCCCGACCTGTAATATTTTTCTTCTCTTGTCATTAAATTTTAGTCAGTTTTAGTTTTGGCTTTCATTTCACATATGCCTGTCTGAGTATATCCCTCTCGTATGTTTGCTACAAACCCTGTTTGTCTGTGTTTACTTTTCACTTTCCTCCACTCACTGCTGACATTTAGTGTGTCTCATCTCAGGACTGAACCAGTGGAGCAAGCAGAGCAGGAACCAGAGGAGTTGGCAGATGTGGTGTCAGACACCGAAGAGAATGCGCAGGTTGGTGACACAGAAGAGAGATCGTCAGAGAAGGCTACTGCTGACGTGAAACCCCCGCCCAATGGAAAAGTGAAACCAAAGACAAAGTTCCGTCCATATCGAGGAAAACTCAAATCTGCTGGAGTGAGCAAGATGACAGAATCGTTGGAGGAAACAGAGATGCAGATGATGTTTGAGGAGATAACTGCGTCAATGCCAGCATCCGAGGAGAAACCGAGTACGCTTCTGAACATGCCGGCTTCCTGCACCAGTATCCTCAAGGTAGGTGGCCGCGGTAAGGAATGTGAAAGAGTTTGTTTTTGTAGTGTGTGGATGAATGTGTTGAGACTGTGTTGAAATGCTGTTATGACAGTACTGCCATCAGCTGACAAAACGCCTTTTTTTCATTTTGGCGCAAACATTTTTTATTTGATAAATCGATAGTCTGACCTGTTACCCAACTTGTGTGAAAAAATCAAAGTGAAAGTGTGACTAGTTTTTGAATAAATTA